GGGGCACTGTGTCACAGAGGGAGACAGAGCAGCAAGGAGGTGCCCGGTGGGCCAGGGCCGGAGGAGCTGCGGTAGGGCCGGGCACACTTCAACATTTAAGCTCAGCCCTTTGGAGCCTGTATGAAGGGAGGGGTGGTCAGACAGAACTCATTCTCCTCCTGCTTCCAGCTGGCTGCTGACCCACTGACTCCGAGCCCCATGGGGCTTTGAGTCTCCCTATTCCCCGGCCCAGCACTGGCTGATAACCAGTAAATATCTGAAAGTTCTCAACCAAGCCTGGCACAGGCCCTGCCAGTCTGACAGCACGTCTCTTGTTTTGCAGGTAAGAGCATCAGTGGTTAAGTAATTTACCAGAGGGCAGACAGTAGATGGTAAAGGCGGATAGCCCTGCCCTGAGCTAGTCTGGCTGGAGGCTCCAGCTGGGAGCCCCAAGGGGAGCTCAGCCGATGGCCAGAGCTGGGTGGGGAGGCACCCCAGCTTTTCCCTGCTCCCGGGACAGGCAGTCTCACTGGAGGGGTCACTAGTGAGCAGAGCTCAGGCCTCCAGGGGAACAGGGGAGGGCAGGGTGGTTCCCCATTCCTCCTACCTCCAGGAATGAGCTGATTCCCTGCTGCCCCCCAGCCCCGGCCAGGCGGGAAGGACACGGTCCTGAAGTGGAGGGCACCAGGAGGGGAGAAGCCTGACCTGGGACCACGCTCCAAAGGATAAGGAATGGAGCATGCAGACGCAGCCAACCTGGAGGGCTTCCTGAAGGAGACGCTTCAGGTTCACTTTACATACTCAAGCCAGAAACACAGAGGGCTTTGCTCCAGACCAGGCCTTGGTAATTTCTAGCGTGGACAACAATAGTAGCCTCCCAAGAGGCCTTCTTTCTGGCAGATGGTAAGGTGTGAGCTTTGTCAGGGTCACCGGAGTGCCCGCCCACAACACTGAAGTGTCCATGAGCTTCCGGGAGAAAGGCCATGATTCCACAAATGCTCAATCCAGCTTAGGTAGCCAAGTGCACCTATGGTCACCCTTTCTGAGGCAACTGAGGAAGCAGCCAAAATGAAAATTAGAATCAAACTTCAGTGTGGGGAGGGGGCAAGCTCAGAGCAGGGGCTGGACTCCACATGGTGGCCTTGCAAGAACGATGTCCATAACCAACCTTCTTGGGCAAATGAGTTTGTCCCTTGCTTATGGATTCTCCCAGTCATGGACTACGTCCTCCAGAAACGTGTCAGCTTGGCTGGGTCGACTCCCAGTACTGTGTGGCTGTTCTCCGTTCTGTGATGCTATAAATCCCAACCCGCCTGTGGTTAACGAGCCAGGGCAGGTTGTTAAAAGGGCTATTGGTTCTGTGAATGAGGCAAGACTGGGATGGGATATCCCCCCCGACTGGTCACAGCCCTGCTCTGATGTAACAGGAGTTTCCCTGGTGTGTGGACTTTCATCACCAAGAACCTGGGGGGGAGCCCGTCCTTTGGACCCAGTGTCTCTGTGCTGAAAACCTCCTAGATCCAGGGGAAGGCTGATGCCAAGACACATGGAGATTGCCAAGGGATGCTGGCAGGAGACAAGGACCTTCCTCCAGAGCCACCGAAGTCCTCTTCTAGAGCCAGTGCTCTTAATTCAGACCTCTAACCTCTTAAATGGGAGCTCTGGTGGCGTAGTGCCTAAGGCACTTGACTGCTAACCAGAAGGCTGGTAGTTCAAACCCACCAGCCACTCCTCGGAAGGAAGATGAGGCAATCTACTTTCGTAGTGATACTGCCTCGGAAACCCAAGGAGGGGTCGCTCTGAGTTGGGTCCGACTCGACAGCACACAACCACCACCACCTCTTAAACTGTGAGAGAATAAACTTGTTAAAGCCATGCACCTGTGGCCACTTCTGGTATAGCAGCGCTAGAAACCAAGACACGCGAGTCTTAGAATGTCACTTTTCTTCTGCTTATCTTCCGGTTGGTGCGCAGGGGGAGGTGGGCGCACACGGCCATCTGATCGAGGCCTTCCCCTCCATCCCGGCGGCCCCATCCCTCAGCAGCACTCCGAGGCTTCCTTCTGAGCCCACTCTGAGGAACCTCATCTCTTCTGTTCTAACCGCACATGGGACGAGTCTCCCAGAAGGCACTGGGGCTGAGTGCCCCATGCAACCGCAACCCAGTCTCAGGCCAATCCTGGGTGAAATGCCACAACGGCTCTGGCTGCTCTTGACACAGATTAAGGCACCACAGGAGCCCGCAGGGCACTTGAAGGGCTTGTGTCTCTGTCCCCAGGCTGCTGAGGACCCTCTGGGCCACAGGGGGATTCCACTTGAGGGGGTCCCGGAGGTGAGCCAGGTGGAGGCTGGGAGACCCTGGCCACCCCAGGATGACTATGCCTCTACAAACACCTTCCACTTCCCATCAGAAAGTTGCTGCTGGGTGGAGGTGAGGAGTGTATTTATGTGTGTCTGTGGGGGTTGCCAAGAAAATGAACCACTTAGCATCATTTGGACTGGCTGGGGCCCAGTGCGAGTCTGTCCGTCCATCTCGTTGACAGTTATTTGTGTCACCTGATGGCCAGGTCTCACCAAGCAGCTATGTGTGTCCCGGGAGCTGCCTGGTGTCCTCACCTCTGAATTCCAAGTGACTGGATGAATAAATGAATGAGCTCATTTCTTCTTCACAAAACAGCCCAGGAACAAGGGGGCTGAGAGTGGCGCAGAGCTGCCTGACCCAGCAGCCAGCGGGCACCAAGCTGCACTGGCTTCCCCTCTTCTGGGGCCCAGTCCCGGAACGTGCACCATGACCAGGGGGAAAAAAATAAGGCGGGAGCTTTATTTACTATGAAAGTTGGGGAGGGGCGGGGAGGGAGGGAGGCCGGCTTCACTTGGTGATGGTGTTCCTGCAGAGAGAGGAGGAGGGTGAGACTGGGAGCGGCGCACCCCGCCACGCTCAGGCACCCCGGGTCACCCGCCCCAGCCACCCCCGGCCACTCACGCGTTCATGCTCTTGCCGCTGCCACTGAGCACGATGTAGGGCGTCTTCTGGGCCTTCTGCTTCTCCTGGAGCAGGGCCACGGTGCCCAGGGGTGTGTCGCTGGAGCTCATCTTCTTCAGGAGCTGCAGAGACAGGGTGCCAGTGCAGGGGGGCGGGGCGGTCAGCACAGAGGGCGGGGCAGTCAGCATGGGGTGGGAGCGGGGCAGTCAGCATGGGGTGGGAGCGGGGCGGTCAGCGTTAGGGAGGGCAGGATCGTCAGTATGGAGATGCAGGGCAATCAGATGAGCGGCACCCCTAGAGTGTCACCCCCACACCCCAGGGGGCCACCTACCGCCTCCTCATCCAGCTTCTTCATGCGCCGCTCCGTCTTCATCTTGCCTGAGCCCTTCCCGTGGAAGCGGTGGGAGAGCTGCCGGAATGCCTGGGGACACAGGGTGCGAGTGCCTCAGAGGCACCCTAAGCCAGGAGCTTTGGGGACACAGGTAACCACCAGCCCCCACGAGGAGCTTCCTAACAGTGAGAGCGGGTATCCATTCACCCAGCCCCAGGCCAGGCCCAGGGGTGGGGAAGGATGCCGAGCCTGGCACCCCCCGGGGGCCCCCAGCAGAGCTGGGCGTGCTGTGATAGGGGAGTTCCGGTTCAGGAGTGTGGCTGCTGTAAGGAGGTGGGGCCAGGGCACCACGCCGGGTCTCCGGGGCGGCAAACAGGGCGGGATGAAAGGCCGGCAGTGTCTGCGGAGACCGCCTGCAGCGGGTGGTAGACGGGCGGGGGGGAGGCAGGAGGCTTGGGTGCCACAGCCTCAAGTTGGGGTCTGTGGGGACACAGGACTCAGCAGAAAAGCCAGGCCCCTGTCCACCAGAGTGGAGACCTAGGAGGAGAAGACCACCGGGACCTAGATGTGCCCACAGAGGGGTGGGGGGTGGGGGCCCGTCCTGCTCACCTCCTTGGGCGTGAGCTTCCGGCCTGTCTCATCCACGTACTCAATCTTCACGTCAGGCTTGTAGCCGTCCTTCTCCTTGAAGTCCTGGGTGAAGCCGCGGTACTCCTCCCGCCGGCTGTACTTGTCATCGATGGCCCTAGGCCACAATAAAGGAGACTCAGCGTAAGCTGCCACCCAGTCCACCTGGGCGACTGGCAGCGTGTGCTGGCGACAGTGCAGAGACCCCACACAGCCCCCACACTCACATCTTGTCCTCGATGCAGTACACCGCTGAAGGCAGAGACTTGTTGGGCGCCTTCACCCGGGCCACCTTCTGCACTGTGGTCTCCAACAGCCCTGGGGAGAGGTGGCTGTGAGACCCCAAGCTGCCCACCCTTCTCAGACAGGTGCAGCTCCAGGCTGGGCCGGGGAGGCAGAACAGGCACCCTTGACCCTCCCGAGGTCCACCTCACACAGGGGGCACCAGGGACGCAGGCAGCCCGGCTGTGCAAGGTACAGACCCCAGGCTGCCCACCCAGGCTCTCCTCACAGGGCACCCCGGGCCATCCCCGCCCCTCACCTTTGTTCTGACACAAGAGCAGCGCGGCAGCCAGCCCTCTGTTTACGATGGGCTCCTCGTCCAGGATGGTGGTGGAGGAGGCGGAGAACTGGGAGGGAGGCGCACAGGGGAGCCGAGTGTGAGCAGCTCTGGCTCTTCAGCCAGCCCCTCACCGCACCACCACTGCCATGCCTGCCGGGCACCAGGCCCACGCAGCCAGCCCCACGCATCCTCCTGATGACCCTGGGAGGTTTACAAACCCACTTCACAGGCGGGGAAACTGAGGCTCCGTTACAAGGACTAATTTGCTCAAGGCCCCAGAGCTAGTAAGGAGCAAGCTGGGACTAGAACCAGGGGCGTGTCTCAAGCCCCACTGTGGCCGGCGGCCCCGCCCCCTCGTCGCCCCTCCCCTCCTCGTCGCCCCGCCCCTTCCTCCTCACATCCTGCTGCTGCTTCTCCTCGTCCAGGTTGACGGTGCTCCAGCCGATGTTCTCCTCCCCGTCGGACTCGGAGCCGCCGTTAGCCGAGCGCTCCTCGTCCCGTTCAAAGTCCTGGGGACAGAAGACAGGTCAGCCCGGCAGCCCGGCCCGCAGCCCGCCCGCCCGCCGGCGCTCCGGGGACCCACCATGAGCTCCTCCTGCTCCTCCCGGTTGCCCGCCAGCCCGTAGGTGGGGATCTCCCCCAGCGTTCGGCAGAACTCCGACGTGGCGTTGAACACGATGGTCCCCTTCCGCTCAGGGTCCTCGTCGTCCTCCCAGCCGCGCTGGCAAGACTCCAGCTTCTTCACAATCTCCACCACCTGGGGGAGGGGCAGCTGTGGGCGGGGCCATCACCCCGGGACCCCAGGGACCTCCCCAGGTGGGGCCAGAGAAGCCAGACCCACTGCCCAAGCAGCCTCCGCTCTTCCGGTCCAGTCCCTTGTCACACTGTAGCTGATCTCACCAGGGCCCGCCTCTGCTCCAAGCCACCATGGCCCCCTACTGGCCACACCCCTCTCTCCCTCCGGGTCTCGATGCCCCAGGCCTCTCTTGCTGCTGCCCCGCCACCTGCCTGCCACCCGACAAACCCCAGCACCACGGCCTGTTGGAACATCACTTCCTCCAGAGCCCCATCCCCGAGGTCACAGGGGGTGACACAGCCTGGCTTCTCAAAGCTTCTTCCTACTCCGTGAGGTACCATAAGACAAAGTTTCCCGAGATTTCACACTAAACCTTCCCAACCACAGATGCACCCATACCCTCTGTCCCCCTCCTGTCCTGGCAGATGCCTACCCTGCTCCCACCTCAGGCCACCCTCCGCCAGGCAGGGCTCGTCGGCCCCCTCCCAAACTCAAGGCCTCTGCTCCTGACATGCCTCCCCCTCTCACTAGACTCACTTAGTCTAGTACCTTCAATCCAACTGTTTGTGGACTCCACTCTCTCGCCTGCCCTGCCACTCTGCTCTCTGCTGCATCACTCCCACCAGCGGCTAAGTATGATCCAGTATGTCCTCTTTAAAATCCCTCCCTGCTCGACTGCCTCCTTTACCGTAAGACCAGAGCTGGATGGTGCCTGCCTATCATTACTGAACATTTTGATCAAAGGTTCCAGAGAAGAATCCTGACCAAAAGGGGGAGAATGCAGAACAGGAGTTCAAATTCTCAGATTCCAGACTTTTTGGAGCCATGATTGTTGTTAGGTGCCATCGACTTATAGTCTCCAGCTCATAGTGACCCCATGTACAACAAAACAAAACACTGCCTGGTCATGTGCCATCCTCAATCCTTGCTATACCTGAGCCCATCGTTGCAACCACTGTGTCGATCCATCTCGTTGAGGGCCTTCCCCTCTTTCGTTGACCCTCTACTTTACCAAGCATGACATCCTTCTCCAGGAAATGGTCCCTTCTGACAGCATGACCAGAGCATGAGAGAGACAGTCTGGCCGTTCTCGCTTCTAAGGGGCATCGGCTGCATTTCTTCCAGGGCAGATTTGTTCATTCTTCCGGCCGTCCATGGGATATTCAGTATTCTTCACCTACACCATAATTAAAAGCATCACCTCTTGTTCGGTCTTCCTTATTCATTGTCCAGCTTTCACAGGTGCATGAGGCGACTGAAAATACCATGGTCTGGGTTAAGCACATCTTAGTCTTTAAAGAGACATCTTTGCTCTTCGGCACTTTAAACAGGCCTTTTGCAGCAGATTTGCCCAGTGCAATACAATGTCTGATTTCTTGACTGCTGCTTCCATTGGGTTGATTGTGAAACCAAGCAGTATGAAACCTTTAACAATTTAATCTTTTCTCCATTTATTGTGACACTGCTTATGGTCCAGTTGTGAGGATTTTTGTTTCCTTTTTGTTGAGATGTAATCCATACTGACAGCTGTAGTCTTGAATCTTCAAGTGCTCAGAGCCATGGAGGATGGAGAAACCCCTACAACTACTGCCCTGATAAAATCTTTAAACCTTTAAGTCATCCTAAAACCAAACAATAGTTTAGCTGACATAGTAAAGGTCTGTCTGCCTTGAGCATTATAATTATACGCTTTTAAGAGCTATCTGTGTGGGATGAAATTGACAACAGCACAATTCAAAAGATCAGATAGGAACCTTACAGGGCAGTGAGTCTGTGCTAATGAGAAAGAGCTCAGACAAGGAGGATGAGAACAGTTGCGTAACTCAAAGAATGTCATCCACATCACTGAACTGTACACGTACAAACAGCTGAATTTGTGCAGGTTTCGCTGTGTATCTTAAAACCACCACTGAAACAGAAACAACACAAAAGCCTCCCAGGTGGTGCATCTCAAGTCCCCGGCATGGGCCTGACCCCCATTCCTCACCTTCTGCTCAGAGCACACCCAAGTCAGTCCCCATCCACACATCTCATGGTTTGCCGAGAGCCTGTTCCAGGCTGGGCACAGTGCTTATAGCTGGGAACACGGTGCTCTCAAAATCAGCTCTACCCTTGAGAGCCTGTAAGTCCAACTGGGGAGACAGGCCACTAAACAGACAACCGTGGAGGAAGAGGGGAAGCACAGGGCATTTCACGTGCAAGCAAACTACTCTGCAGCTGCCAGAAGGTGGACACACATGCCACACATTTGCTGACACGCACGGAACGTACCACACAGACTGAGCCCTCGTGTAAACTGTGGACTTTCGCTAAAAACCCATCAGTATTAGATTTCTTCTGCTGCACAAAGCACGCTGCTGCAGGCACGCTAAAGGCAGCGCGGCCACTGGTAGAATCCTCGCCTTTGATCCCAGCCAGCGCCCCTCCTGGGCAGCCCCCACCGTCCGTCAGTGGAGGATGCTCAACAGGTTTCAGCAGCAATTCCAGACTGAGGCAGATAAGGAAGGAAGGTGACCTCCTTCTGGAAATTAGCCAGCGTAAAAACCCTGTGATCTCAACAGTCCGACCCCACTGTGCACGGGGTCGCCATGAGCAAGGGCCAGACCCAACAGCAGCCAGCGATGATAAGCAGTGCCACTCCTGCCGGCCTGTGTGCGTGCACAGACGTTTCTCAGGGGTCTGCGTTCATGAGCGGGCACTGCTGACTCGAAGGGCCGCCACCCTTCAACTTCTCTACATAAGTTGGTTTTCCCAGTGGGATCAGACTCCCAGGTTCTCCCGTGAAGAGTGTCTCCAAGAATTCTGGGGGCTCTACAAACTCACTCACGCTTGATATTGTCAGCCTCTGACATTTTGCCAAACTGTGTGGGTGTGATGTGGCCTGACTGTGGTTTTAACTTCTTTCCTTGATCCTGAATGAAGCTGAACATCACTGCACGTTTCACTCGCTGTTCCCTGTCCGAGGGCTGCCAGCTCAGGCCTTCCGCTCACTCTACGGCTGGGCCGTTCACTCCCATGGTCTGCAGAGGTTCCTGGTATGTTCCTGATCCCGACCCCATGCCGGTGAGAGGCAGGCACTATTTCTTTCTTTGGTTTCACTTTTTAGATTCTTCACAATCTCTCCTTCTTTTGTAAATTTAGTTTCTACAGGCAGTCAATTTTGTTATTTTCTTCATGGTTCATGCTTTTTAAGTCTTGATCTTTTCATACCACGAAATCCAACTTAAAAACGGGCAAAGGACTTAAAAAGACATTTCTGCAAAGAAGAAGAAATACAGCAAGCCAACAAGCACATGGAGATGTTCAACATCATTAAGCTTTAGGGAAATGAAGGTCAAAACCACGATACACCACCCCACACCCATGAGGACGCCTACAATTAAAAAAGAAGATAACAGTGTTGATGAGGAAGTAGAGAAATCGGGACCCGTGTCCATTGCTGGTGGGAATATAAAATGGTACAGCCACTGTGGAAAAGTTTGGAGGTGCCTCAGAAAGTTGAATACAATTACCATCGAATCCAGCAATCCCACTCCTAGGTATATACCCAAAAGAACTGAACCAGGGACTAAAAAAGATACCCTGTACAAGAATGGTCATTGCAGCACGATTTGCAATAACCAAAAGGTGGAAACAACCCAACTGTCCATCAACAGATGAATGGAAGGAGTATTACTTGGCCATTGCTTGAATAATTTCCCTTAGAAAGATGAGCACAAGGCTGGTCCCCATGAGGTGGAGGTTGAAGATGACCCAAATGCCCAAACTACTGTGCTATCGTTTCAGACGTTAACTACCCCTCCTCTCAGTAATCTCCTCCATCATAGGGTTCTGTATTTCACTGTAACGTCTCACAGAACTCACAGGCACCTGAGGAATCATCTCTCGGAGTGGTGGTGGAGGCTGGCAGGCTGGCAAGTCCCAGGTCTGTGATAGGTCTGGAGGACCTGCCCAATTCTCAGGGTCTGATGAACCCCAATCAGCAGATCAGGTGACGGCTGCTGTCCCAAATCCCGGGTGAGATGACGATGACACAAAGTGCAGAACCAGGGCAAGAGGAACCTTCCCACAAGACTCCTACGTACACCCTCAAGGAAGCTAAGGGTGGTGATTTGAGTTATACCCTCCAGCGAGGCAGGACTCAAGATATATCCCACCTGCGCTGCTCCAACAGAGATATCCCACGTGGATGACTTTAACAACCACAAGTTTAAAAGCAGCTACTCAGTTGCTCACAGCAAATTCCACCACGGAGCCAAGTGCCAGTCATTATAGGGAATAACTACTACCAGTTGCCCAGCCAAGTTGACACACGACCTTAACTACCACACCACCTTAAACAGGCATGGATAATAGGATTTACAATACATCACAAAATGGACGACAACGGCTTGAAGGGCCACATCGAACAATTCACCACAGCCACGAAAAAGAAAGATGCTCTGACACGTATTACGACACGGTGAACACTGAACACATAAAACGAAGTGAACGAAGCCAGACAGGAAGGGAGCATAAGGGTCAGCTCTCCAGCCTCTTCTTACCTGTAGCCCCTTCCCCTGGGTGCCCTACCGACACCCCTGTTCTCTGCTGACACCACTTCCCTGCGGTTTTCCTTTCCCCTCACACCCAAAATGCCTCAGAGACTGGATGAGGGAGGGATCCTCTTTCTTCCTCATCATCACCCCCAAAACATTTCTTCTCCTTCCTCCCTCCTGCAAGGATCCAAGCCCCCATCGAGGGCGAGGCCACCAGCCAACGTCACCTGCTATTCCTCCGTGGTCCTGCCATTTCTACTTCCTCACCTCTCCCTTCACTCACTGTCTTCCTCTCTGCCTCTACGCATCTTCAATCTTGGTGACCTCAGCATCCAAACAACCATCAAAAACTCCCTCAGAGGTTCCTTGACCTCCTCATCACCAATGACTGTTTCCTCAACATCCCTCAGCCACTCCCCCAGTCACACAACTGCCCTCAGCATCACCAACAGCCATTCTGGCTTCAAGATCTACCATGTCCTGTCTTTAAAGCTCACTTAGTCTAGTACCTTCAATCCAACTGTTTGTGGACTCCACCAAGACCTTCTACCCAATGCTCACAGACACCACTCCCCTCCTGCCAGGTCCCTCATCACCTGGCTTGGATTCTGGGGCTCTCCTCTGCAAACACCTTTACTGCCTCTCTCCTCTGTCCCTAGAAAACCCAATCCTAACTAATCCCAGCTGCTCACCTCCTCAATATCCTGGACACCAGTGAGCTCAAACGGCCTGCTATTGGCCACTGTGAACTGGACAGTCTACCATGCCAGGAATGACAAACGAAAAAGAATGACGTCATATTCATTGTCAAAGAGAACGTTTCAAGATTCATGCTGAAGTATGACACTATCAGTGATAGGATATCACCCACACACCTGTAAGACAGACCAGCTAATGTGACTATTACTCAAATGCACACATCAACTGCTAATGCCAAAGATAAAGACATTCAACGTGTTCACCAACATCTGCAACTAATCAAACAGGTATCTCAAGATGCACTGATAATTACTAGTGATGAGAAAGTGAAAACTGGAAACAAGGAAGGATCATTAGTTGGAAAATACGTACGGCCTTGGTGGAAGAAATGACCTGAGAGTACATTCTATCAGAATTTCACGATACCAACTTATTCACTGCAAACCAACCTTTTCAATAACATAAACGACAGCTATACTTGTGGACCTCGCCAGATGGAACACACAGGCATCAAATTGACTGTCTCTGTGGAAAGATGATGGGAAAGCTCAGTATCATGAGTCAAAAAGGCCAGGGGCCGACTGTGGAACAGACCACCAACTGCTCATGTGCAAATTCAAGTTGAAGCTGAAGAAAATTAAAACAAGGCCACAACAGCCAAAGTATGACCTTGAGTCTATTCCACCTGAACTTAGAGACCATCTCAAGAAAAAATTCGATGCACTGAACACTAATGACCAAAGACCAGACAAGCTATGGGATGACATCAAGGACGTCATATGTGAAAAAGGCAAAAGGTCATTAAAAAGACAGGAATGAAAAAAAAAGACCAAAATAGATAGCCCAGGAGACTCTGAAACTTGCTCTTGAATGTAGAATAACTAAAGCGAAGCAAAGAAATGAAGTAAAGGAGTTGAAAAAGTTCAAGCCACGGCTCACAATCCTCAAGGATGCTACGGGCAAAATACTGAACAACATAAGCAGCACTGAGAAAAGACGGAAGGATACACAGAGTCACCGCACCAAAAAGATCGGTCGATGTCCGACCACTTCAGAAGGTGGCATGTGATCAGGAACCAATAGCACTGCAGGAGGAAGTCCAAGCTGCACTGAAGGAGCTGGTGAGAAACAAGGCTCCAGGAATGGCTGGAATCCTCACTGAGAGCCGTATCGGTGCCTGCTGCAAAGAAAGGTGATCCAACAGGATGCAGAAATTACCTAAGGATATCGTTAGTGTCACACGCGAGTAAAATTTCACTGAAGATGATTAAAAAGTGATGGCAGCAGTTCATCAATGTGGGACTGCCAGAAATTCAAGCTGGATTCAGAAGAGGATGTAGAACGAGGGATATCACTGCTGATGTCAGGTGGGTCATGGCTGAAAGCAGAGAACATCGGGAAGATGTGTACCTGTGTTTGATTGACTATGCAAACGCATTTCATTCTGTGGATTCAAACAAATTACAGATGACACTGAAAAACGGAAATTCTAATTATGCTCACGCAAAACCTGTACGTAGACCAAGAAGCAATTGTTCAAATAAAACAAAGGGATGCTGCATGGTTTAATCAGGAAAGGTGTGCGTCAGGGTTGCATCCTTTCACCATACTTATTTAATCTGTGTGCTGTGCAAATAATCCAAGAAGCTGGACTATATGAAGAAGAACACACCATCAAGATTAGAGAAAAACTCACTGACAACCTATGACATGAAAATGACACATCCTTGCTTGTTGGAAGGGAAGAGGACTTAAGGCACTTACTGATGAAGATCACAGACTAGAGCCGTCAATATGGGTTACATTGTAACATAAAGAAAATAAAATCCTCACAACTGGACCAATAAGCAACATCATGATAAATGGAGATGAGACTGAAGTTGTCAGGGATTTCATCTCACTTGGACCCACAGTGAACGTCCACGGAAGCAGCAGTCGGGAAATCCCACGTGTTGCAGTGAGCAAATCTGCCATGAAAGACTCCTATAGGGACTGGAAAGTGAAGATGTCACTGTTGAGGACTCCCGTGCACCTGACCCAAGCCGAGGTCTCGTCAGTCACCTGGTTTGCATGGGAAAGCTGGACAATGAGGAAGGAAGACTGAAGAATGGATGTCTTTGAATTACGGTGCTGGTGAAGAATAGTGAATATACCATGGGCTGCCACAAGACCGAACCGATCTGTTTTGGAAGAAGTGCAGCTGGAATGCTCCTTAGAGATGAGGGTGGCAAGACTTTGTCTGATGTATTTTGGACACATTATCCAAGAGGGACCATTCCCTGGAGAAGACTTTCATGCTCCGTAAAGCAGAGGGTCACCAACAAAGGGGAAGGCGCTCATTGAGATGGACTGACATGGTGGCTGCCACGATGGGCCCAACATGGTCCACTGTGTGGGTGGTGCAGCTACCGCCGCCGCCGCTCCCCTACTCGGTAGGCTGCAGCTGAGCAGCCGGAGCAATCCGGAGGCACGCTGGCTGGGTCCCTTCAATCCAGGATCACTGACCTCAGGTGGGGAATCACCATCCTCCTCCAGCGAGGGAGCAACAAGGCCCAGCAGCCCCACTCCTGCCCTCATCTCCGCGCTCCGCCTTAAGGACAGTCCCACCTCTTCTCTCTTTAACCCTCCCACACCCACCCCTGCCTTCCATGCTTCACTGACAAACAACCAGGGAGGGGCTCCCTTGATTTCTCCCAAGTTACCTGCGTCACTCCCTGTCCCCACCTCGCTAAGGAACTGTCCCCAGTTACTACCCTCACTTCTCAACTCCTCTCCCCACTCACCTCCGATTCACTAAGGCCGCTTCATCTGCAACACGACTCCACCCCTCACTAGTGTGATAGACTTTCCCCTCGAAACCCCTTCTTGGCTGCTGGGAGGCCCTCTCGTGTCCTCCTCCCTGCAGGCCTGCTGCTTGTCCGACTGTTTGGTGGGAGCCCTGTCCCCCACCGTTCACCCACTGGTCCAGCCTCACCCCCTCTGGAGCCCCGCTCCCTCCCTGGATGGGAGGGGGCGCACCGTGTGGACTCTGTCAAGCTGCTCAATCCCAGCTCTGCCACTGACCAACCACATAGCCCTGAGCAGCTTTATCTAATGTCTCTGTGCCTCAGTTTCCTCATCTGTAAAACGGAGCTAACAGAACCTTCCTCACAGGCAGCTGCTGGGAGGGCTACGTGCACGCACATCAAGTGTCCTGACACTCCCGGCACCTGTACGTGCCCCGTGAGCGCGAGTGATGACCGTCACCTCAAGTCCCACACAAACAGGTCGCGTGGACGGCTCCACCTCCGTTCACACCCCCTTCCTCCCACTCTTTGCTCCAGCCTTCCTGGGCCTCAGACCCTTCTAGGGTCACTCCCCCGAGGACATCTGCTGTCTCAGTTCCCCACCCCACATGCACTCTCAAATCTCTGCAGAGTTGACTCCTCTGTGTTATTGCAGCCTCCACTCAGAGTCACCCTTGAAGCATCTGCCTTGAATATGCATCAGAGGTACCGACCCTCGGTATTCCTTTACCCTGTCCTCCGGTCTGCTCTGTTTACGTGTTCATGCGTGCACCGTACTAGAGGTCAGCTCCCTGAGCGCTGGGCTCCTCTGTCCTGAGCACTAGCAACTCCCAGGCCTGGAACAAAGCTTCCCTCACAGTCCACGTGCAGAAGGAAAGGAGAGAGGCAAAGATCCAACCACTAAACACCCAGCAGTGAAAGCCCTGCAGACGTCAGAAACCTGCTCACAAGGTGGTTGTCAAACAGAGACGGCATGCTGACGAACAGGGTGGTGCCTACAATGACACGTGCAGATGGGCTCGGGACAGCAGGTCACCACAGACGCCTGTGACCACAGGCCCCGCCCAGCGCCCCCGCACCTTCTCGCCGCTGTCGCGCAGCTGCTGAAGCTGCCGCAGCCGACGCCCCTTCTCCAGCTGCTTCTGAAGCTCCAGCTCGGCCTCGTCTTCCTCCAGCACCGGGGACCCGGGCCGAGGCGCTCCGCCCTCCTCTGCAGAGACACACGGGAGGTGGCTCGGACCTGCCTGCTCAGACCTGCCCCCAGGGGCCCGGGCCCTGGCTGCCGCCCTCCGTGGCCCCCTCACCCTCATCGCTGATGTCCATGTTCTCCACGCGGGTGTCATCTGACTGGGGGTGCTGAGGCACGGGCTCCTTCTCCTTCTCCTCCTCCTCCAGGACCTCCTCATCAGCCTCGGGCACTCGGCGCCGACCCCGGCCCCGCAGCCTGGCAAGAAGAGGCCACCCCAGTGACCATCGGTCCAGGCCTCACAGCCCCACAGCCCATCTCTGTGACTGAGCCTACCTAGAGCCGAAGTCCCCCTCCTGAGTCTGGTCCCCGAGGGGCAGCAAGTCATCGGCCCGCATCACTACCTCCTTCTCCTTCTTGCGGATTTTCTTCACCCTCCGCTTGGTTTTTTTAAAGGTCACCTGACAGACGAGAAGAGATGTGAGAAGGAAGAGGAGGGGCCGCGGTTGACCGCAGATTCCCCAGTGAGTACCTCCTCAGCACTGCTCTGGGAGCCTGTTGTACGCAAAGCACTGTGTGCACGCGAACAACACACGAGACAGGTCCCATTACCCCCACCTGGGAGGTGAGGAAGCTGCGGCACAAGGTTAAGGACCTTGCTCAGATCACCCAGCTTCTAAGCAGGACACAACCAAAACCCAAACTCACTGCCGTTGAGTCGATTCGACTCACAGCGACCCCTGCTTGGGCGTTCGAGGCACTATCTCTATGGAAGGAGATGGCCCAGCCTTCCTTCCGAGGAGTGGCTGGTGGGTTTGAACTGCCAGGCTTCTGGTTAGCAGTCAAGTGCCAAGAATGGGGTACAAATCTTGGCCCTAGAGTCCCTGGCCAGAGTCTCACTCAGCCAAGCTCTCTGCTACAACCTACTGAGCCATGTGCCTCTAAGTTCACAGCCACCCCAAATACAAACTCCACACAAGGCCAGAAAATCACCACTTAGCCTACGCCCCACAAGGCTGTAAGGACAATGCTAACCCTCACAACGCTCTTTGACAGGCGAGGTTCCGGTCATGCCCACTTCCGACGGTGCCTAAGGCTCACGGTTAACCCCTCGCCCTGGCGGGAGCTGGCTGTGGCAGAGCCTGGACACAAGAGGCCCACTGGCTCAGCAGTCCTTCCTCTACACCACAGCTCCCCAGGGCCGCCGGTGAGCGCTCACCCACGGGCGTCAGGCCCTGTCCAACACTCAGCCCCTCCCCCAACCCCACAGCTGTGCTGGAAGCCCCAGGCTCACCATCTCCTCTGGTGTGAGGTACTCGGAGGCGAGTCGGGGCCCTGCCGTGCTCAGGGACTGGGCCTGCAGCCGCAGCCGGGACCGGATCTCTTCCAGCTCCCGCTCCCGGAGGTCGTCAGCCATGCCGCCCTGGTCCAGGCGGAAGGAGTGGGGCCGCTCCCCCTCGAGCTCCTCGTCATACTTGGACAGGATGGAGCGGGGTTTTCGCTGCAGGGCAAGTAGTAGGGGTTGGGGCCGAGCCTGGCTGCTGAAGCGTTGCTTGGCCCCCGGCCCCAGTGCCCACGCCGCCCAGCGCCCAGGCCGTCCCAGCACCCACGCCGCCCAGCGCCCAGGCCACCCAGCGCCCACGCCGCCCAGCACCCAGGCCGCCCAGCGCCCACACCGCCCAGCGTGCCTGTGCCATGTCGTCCACGCTCTCGTCCTCTGCGTAGGGCAGGTAGTCGGGCTGCTTCTTCCGCAGCTCCACGTTCTTCTTAGCCCGTTCCTTGTCCACCATGTTCACGTTCACCAGCACGTCCTCTTCCTCCTGCAGCACCCCTGGGAGCAGGGCAGAGGCTACTCACACCTGCCCTTGACCCAGCCGCGCCTGTGCTCCCAACCGGCACACCCGCTCCACTTACCCTTATCCTTGAGGGTGAGGATCACCGTCTCCCCTTCACGGAAGGAGTCGATGGCATGCTCCACAGTGAGGCCCTGCAGGTCCCGGGCGCTGTACAGGTCCTAAAAGGGCGGAGAGGGGCCAGCTGAGTGAGGAGCCCCGGCCACCCGGACCTGAGACCCCAGCACTGGACGGCAGCGCCCCGCTGTGCTGCAGCCTCACCTGCCGCCTCTGCCCAAACTCCTCCTCCACCAAAGTGCTGACACCAAACTCCTGATCCATCTCTTCCAGCAGCTTGGCCTATGGAACAGAGGTGGGGGTGCCTACCGGTCATTCAGCATCACCAGAAAATGCCCGCCTGGGCACGGCCAGGTTCTGCCAAAGGAGAGTGCCTAAGCACGGCCTCACAGGCGAGCTGCTGGGAGCCCGAGGCCGACAGCACAGAGCCCCTCATGGTGAGTCCCGCCCCGCCGCCCATCAGTCAGACTCCCGCCCCACCACCTGGCGGTCCAGCGGTCAGCCTCCTGCCTCAGTGACGGGCAGGCCCACAGGCACCTGGCCGCCCCGAGCTCCCCAGGGACCCCCGGAGCTCACTCTCTTCTCCGCCAGGTCCTTCTCCTTCTGCAGCTGCCGGCTCCTCTCAATCCAGGCTGCAGTGTCATCCAGCCACGGGTCGTCCTCCCCCAGGGTCTTGATTTTCCTGAAAGGAGAGGACAGGGACCCTGAGGAGGCCAGCTGCTGTCACGGCCCCAGGGCTCCCTGGCACTGCCCCCAAGCCCCCCCCACCCGGGCAGGGCCCTCACCCCAGCTTCTGGTTCAGCAGCCGCTTCTCCTTGGCGGCCGCCAGCTTCTCCCGCAGCTCCTCTCGCTGTCGCAAGGCCATGGGGTTGATGACTTCAGCTGTCAGGGGCTCCTCCTTGGTGCCCGCCTCTGGAAGGGGGGCCCAGACGTGAGGCTATGCCTGCCCCAGGGCTGGTGGGGAGAGGAGGCAGCTACTTGCCCTGCCCTCTTCCAGCCCAGGGGCCAGGAAGGGCCAGCAGGGGGTTGGAATCCTTCCCCTCCCTACAGCCACACCATCCCCACACAGCACAGTGGAAGCCTCCAGGCCTCCTAAGGCTCCTCGGAAGAGGCTTTAAACAAACACACATCTGCCCGGTCCAGAGCAGTCCGCAACGCCTGCACACGTCTCAGCCCACGTCACAGCGTTTCCCGCGGGGACAGTGCAGGTGACACTGTCACACTGACGGGACCAAGGAGCCCTCCTGCATGTGCACACCACACACCCACCAAATGGTGAGGAGCCTGGGCGTTAACTCTCTCCTGTCTTCAAAGACTCCTTCAGGTAGCCCCTCCCCACCCCCCATCCTCTGCCCCACACTCACCCTTCTTGACGGCATTGACCTCCAAGGGTTTCAGCCCCAACTTCGCCCGCAGTTTACTGGGAATGAGAAACACAGTGTTAGGGACCGTCAGGAAATGGCATCAGATGCGTTCCTGGACAGACAGTGGTGACGATGGGATGGGAGTGAGTGGTCTTGAGTCTCTCAAGGAGCCCTGCTGGCACAGTGGTTAAGCACTTAATTGCTAATGAAAAGTCAGCAGTTCAAACCCAATGGCTCCTTGGCAGAAAAATAAGGCAGTGTGATTCCATAAAGATTATAGCCTCGGGAACTCTGGGCAGTTCTTCTCTGTCCTATACCCACTGCCATTGAATTGACTCTGACTCATAGCTATCCCCATACGGTTTCTAAGGCTGTAAATCTTTAGAGGCAGACTGCCTCGTTTTTCTCCCACGGAGTGGCTGGTGGGTTTGAACCACCAACCTGTTGGTTAGCAGCCCAGTGCCTATCCACAGTGCTACCAGAGCTCCTTAGGGTTCCTATTAGTCCGAATCAACTTGATGGCAGTAGATTTGGTTCTTTTTCTGAAGCCTCCAAGCACAGGCAGCCTGGGCGCTGGGCAGAGAGGGGGCACAGGCACTGGGCCCGGTTGGCCCCCATCAATAGAAGGCCACCATGCCGCTCAGGTTTTAGTTTGCTCTTCTATCACCTACGTGGCTGGCCAAGACGATTCATGGAGCCCATCCAATTCCCATCAGAATGCATCAGCGTGTGGAAGGCTCCCTGAGCAGCTGTCCTAGAAGCCGCCCATCTCTGAGGGAAAAGGAGAACTCCGCGGGAGACAGGGCTTACTTGGTCTCCTCGATGCTGAGTGATGAGGCATCTCCTGAGCTGGTCTTGGAGCCGGCAGCTGGAACAAGAAGAAGCACGACTCAGGAGGTGACAAAGGGCCCGGCAGCCAGCACCCTGGCTCCAGCCGAGGGCGGAGATGAGGGCCCCTCACCGGCACCTGGCCCTGTAGAGACCCCAGGGAAGAGTGACGCCTCGGCCTCCCTCTCAGACTGCCTCTAGCCCACCAGCTCCTTCCACTCAAAGCACAGACTCTGAGAATCCTGCCTCCTGGGTGTTCTCCCCACTCCTGCCCTGGTCTTCCATCCCCCACTGTGTCACCTCTCCACCTCTACGTAGTCTGTCGTCAACGTGCTGTGACCTCTCTGGCCTTGCTCAGGCTGACAAAATTCAACCCACGTGCAAAAGGCAAATACTGCCTCCTCCACGAAGCCCTGTCCAATTACTGGTAAGAACGAACCACTCTCTCCTGCACTCCCAAAGCACAGTCAGTCGTTTCTGGGTCTGTTTCTCCCCACGCGGCAGGGATCATGTCAGCAGCAGGGCTGTGTCCTCCGCACAAATCGTGTTGTTAAAACACAGACACTTATGAGGGCCTGCTTGGTGGTGGACTCTTGAGCGGGATGTTGGCAACGCAGAGAGAAGTACTTCAGACCTCCTCTGCCCACCTCACAAACAGCAAATAACTTCACCAATCGCCACAAAGAGAAGCCAGACGCCATCAGCTCCCAGCCAGCTGCCCCCATGGGCTCATTTACCTGCATCCCCATCCCACCAACCTTCCTCCTCCCCTTTCATCCCAAAGGTTCCCCTCTCCACCAGGGCCTTGGATCCCAGCCCCTCTGGGCTTTCTGCAAGGTCACCAGCCCCCGATTTCTAAATCAATGGACTCTTGGCGGCCCTGGTTTGTGACTGATCTCTGTGGCACACGTGTGACACCGCTGATCACTCCCTCCTTCTAAGAACATCCTCTCTCCACGTGCCATGCCTCCAGGGTCTCCTGGTTTGCCTCCTGTCTCTCTGGCTATTCTGCCTTCTTTTTCGGGGCCTCTTCCTCCACCCACTTCTGAAATATGGGCATTTCCCAGGTTCCCTGCCATGGCTTCTCACCCACGCTCCCTCTCAAGGGGGCTTTACCTGCCACCTAACCACTCATGATATGTACTCCCTGGAGAAGGATATCACGCTTAGTAAAGTGGAGGGTCAACAAAAAAGGGGCCGGCCCTCAATGAGATGGACTGATACAGTGGCTGCAACGATGGGCTCAGGTAAAGCAAAGATCGTGAGGCTGGCACAGGACCGGGCAGTGTTTCATTCTGTTGTACAGATGACATGGAGCTCACTCAATAGCACCTAACAACACCAACTCCCACGTCGCCCTCTCCAGCCCAAACCCCTGACAACAAACTCAACGCTCTCCATGACGGAATTCACAACACTTCAAGAGAGGGCAGCAGCACCCGCCTAGTTGCTCAAACCAAAATCCAACAAGTCACCCTCCACTCCTTCACCACCCTCAAGCAAGGGCTAAGTTCTGCTGATTCCTCCTCCTGAATTCCTCTCGATTCCACTTCCATCTCTCCACCCCACTGCTGCCCCCTTGCTGCCGGCCACCGTCTGCCCTCACCTGTCTGTCTCCAGTTCTCCCCACCTCCCTGCCTGCAGTCCTGCATCCCCAGCGTTCAATGCAGTGATCTTTACAAAACCGCACTCCCCATCCCCAATCCCTGGCTCCTCACAGCCCTCAGGACCAAGTTCATTTAACAGAGTCTACGGAGCTCTGGTAGCATAGTGGCTAAAGCACTTGACTGCTAACCAGAAGGCTGGCGGTTCAAACCCACCAGCCACTCCTCGGAAGGAAGGTTGGGCAATCCTACTTCCGTAGTGATACTGCCTCGGAAACCCAAGGAGGGGTCGCTATGAGTCGGGGCTGACTCGACGGCACATAACAACAACAACAACAACGGGATCCCTCGCGTTCCAGCCACTGTCTCTACCAGGAGCTCTACACTATGCGCCAAATACCAGGTTTTCTCTTGTCTCTGCACCCGCTCTTCTCAATTCCCATTCCTTCACTGAACACACTGAGGGTCTGTGAGATACAAAAGTGTGCCCTTCGAGGAGCTTAGTAGAGGGAGACAATTGCAAGACTAGTAAGTGCTGATGACAAGAGTCTGGGGGTGCCTAGCCCTCCACGCTCCTGGACCCAGCGCCCCCTCCAAAGGTCCCGCCCCTCACCCGCTTCGTAGCCATCGTCGCGTTTCTCCCGTTTCACGCGCCGCTCCGAGGGCTCGGCCTGGCTGCGCTCCCGCCCGTGTGCGCTGCCGCGGGCTTCAGCCTCGGCCCCGCGCCGCCCGCTCCCGCGCTCGCCTCCACGCTCCCGGCTCCGCTTTCTCCGTTCGCCGCCGCTGCTGCCACCCCCGCCGCTCCGGTGCTTGTGTTTCTTGTGCTCTCGGTGCCGCGGCGGCTGTTCTGTGGATCCCCCGGTGCCGGTGGCTGCTGTTGTCCCGGCCGCCTCCTTTTCGCCCCGGTGCTTCTTCGACGACCCCATGGTGGCACGTCCACCCCAGCTCCGGCCACTGCCGAGCCGCGACCAAGCAAGATGGGAACACTTCCGGGTCACCGGGCTGCCGCTGTTTTGTTGCCGGAAACCAAGAGCGGCTGTTTCCTTCTTTCGCCTCGGAGGCTGTCCCAAAGGCTCATGGGAAGGCCAGAAACGGAGCCCGATTGCGCAGTCGCGGCCGCGTCGTCGGGGTGGTGGCCTTGGAGCTGAACGTCCGAGTGCGCATGCGCTTCTCCAAGTGCGCGAACCTGGCTTTGGGGGATCGAATTATGGGCTTCCGAGATTGTAGGTACCTAGAGACTTTCTAAGCCGACATCCCCGGAGTTCCCCGGTCTCCTTCAGTTGGCACTGGCCACGGGGTGCACATTGCCACTCGGTGGGAGTCCGCCTAGTGGCCCCCTCAGGTATGGAGGATGCTCCCTGTCGTCCTCTAGAACCCCCGTCCGTCACAACCCAGCCTCCGAGCTCTCACAGCCAGTTGTTACATGCCGTGGAGTCGGACCCGACTCATAGCGACCACTCCTTGGGTTTCGGAGGCGGTAAAACTACGGAAGTCCATTGCCCAACCTTCCTTCCAGGGAGTGGCTGGTGTGTTTGAACCACCAGCCCTCTGGTTAGCAGTCAAGCGTCTTAGGCATTATGCTACCAGAGTTCCCTTCACGGCCAGTAGTGGCCCCAAATCCTGTCTAGCAATGTCCCCTGGGTCGGGTTTTTTCAATGACCGTTTGTACGCGGCTAAGGCGCAGCAGATGAACCTCTGTTTCGGAACTCCCTGAAATTGGGCGCAAAATTTGAGACATCTCTGTATGTAAACGTATGTTTTGTTGTTTTAACTTGAGCAGGCGGGTTGTGACTGTTAGGCCCAGCCCACACAATCCCTCCTGACACCTCCCACCCAACAGTTGATCCAACTTCTGGGTTCTGGTTGTCCCCCGTGTGACTCATCTCCACGTGGGTCAGTGTGTTGCATGACCCCCGTCACAGTTAGCACCGCCTCTGGGCTGGGAGCCCTCAAAGGCAGGGGCCCTGTCTGTCGCATTCACCCTTGAATTCCTATGATGCAGCATGTCTTAGCACTTTGGAGACTGAGGGTCGGAGAGTCACAATTGTTGCCCTTCAAACTGCCGTGCCCCCCAGAAGCAGAGACGGCCAGAGTTCCTGGGGGTGGGACAGAGGCCAAGCTTGTTGTCCACCCACTTGCCACCTCCCCCCAGCCCACCGCTGCCCTGCCTGCCCCAGAAATCCCACGCTGTATTTTCCATGAATCCTTTAATGTTTATCTTGGGAACTGGATGCTGGGTCCAGACTAGGGGTGCAGGGTTGGTCAGGCTGGCTGCTGGTGGGTCTGGGTTCTGTCCTTGTGGGGCTCTGAGAAGGGTGCTCCGTCCTCACCTCTACTGACCTGTGACTTCTTAAAGACCACAACACAGGCTGCTGGATTCCACATTGCCCTGTCTCCGCCCCACCCCCGCCCCATGCCCAAGGAGACCTGGGCTCTAAGAGGGAAAAGACTAATCTCTGACAATGTAGGTTCAAATCACAGCTTCTCCACTTGCGGGCTGTGTGACTTCCCTCCTTGAGCCTCCTTATTGTGAGTTTCCTTATTGTGAATAAGATCCCTTATTCCTGTACCTGGTTATTCCAAGGAATGAGGGGCAGTATACACGGGCTCACTGGTGGGGTTCCAGCCCCTAATGGGGGCTTGGGGAGTGACTGCACCGATGGCCGCAGAGACCCAGGCTGGCTCTTCTCCTTGCCTGTGTCTTTCAGCAAGCCCTGTCCCGTGGGTTCTGTTTCCTCATTAAGAAGTGGGCAGAATAACCCTGGGCCTGCCTTCCCCAGGTGGCATGGAGGATGGGAGGGCTTCTGGAAGTCCCTGCTGATCCCTGGGGCTAGGCTCAGTCCTTTAGGAGGAGAAGTGAGAAGGGGGGACAGGGCACGACTGAGGGTTAGATTTGGGGCTGATCAGTGGGGCTGTACTGAGGATTCCCTCAGCCCTTCCTCAGATGTCCAACCCTAGGTAGGTAGGGGTAGGAGGCATAAATGGGATCCTGCAGGCCTCAGAGCACTGGTGTTGGGTCTCCTGTACCCCAGCGAGCCTCACCTGGGCTTCCGGGAGGTGCCCTTCATGTCTCCCTTTTCTGCCTCAGCCAGCAGCTGTTTCTCGTCCAGGCCCAGTGCCGACAACACCTGGGAGAAGCGCCGGGTCACGCTGAGTCGGGCATTGGTCTAAAGAGAGAGGAGATGGTTTTCACGCTGCATCAGGGCCACAGGTTCACAATGGAGCTCTGGTCACTGAGCAGGTCTCAGTGCCTCTAAGTGGGCAGCAGCCTAGGGCTCCTATCTGAGGGGGTCCACTCCTCACCTCGCTTCCCTCCCCACTCAGCTAGGGCGATGGTCTGTCCTCAGGAGTGGTTATGTGCTTGCCCAGGCATTGGCCTCACCTGCATGGCCAGTTGGGATGGGTAGGCTCTCACCTGGGTGGCCACCTGGAACAGGTGGGCCATCACCTACCATAGCCTGCTTGCCCAGGAGCTGCCCTCACCTGCGTGGCCTGCTGGGCCAGGTAGGTCCTCACCTGCTGGGCCAGGTAGGTCCTCACCTGCGTGGCCTGCTGGGCCAGGTAGGTCCTCACCTGCATGGCCTGCTGGAACAGGTAGGGCCTGGCCTGCACCCTGTGCTGGATGCCCTGAAGTTCCGCCTGGTACTCAGCAAAGCGCTGTCGCTCCTGGCGCCTGTGCAGGAGACGGGCCTCAGGACATCCCTACCCCCACCTTCTCACCTTCCTACCTTTAAAATGCCACTTCATCCCTACCCTGCCCTGGATTCCTGGTGAGATCAGCAAGATGGGAGTTATTCACCCATCTTCCCGATGGGGAGTGGGAAGGTTGAGGGCCTTGTGCCGGGTTGCCCAGCTGGGAACTGGAGGACTTCCAGGCTGTGCAGCCAGGGCTGGCCTAGCTCCTGGCCACCCCCAAAGGAGAGGTGACAGGGCTGGCTTCTGAGCCCCTAGACATCTGCTTGTACGGCCTCTCTCCTCCCGCAGTCCCACACCCATGCATCCTCTCCCACTGCAGCTCAGAGGAGGAAGCTATGGCTGTTGACTGTGTGACTTTGACCAAGGCACTTCCCCTCTCTGGGCCCTTGGCTCAATTTTGAACCCACTAGCCTCTCTGTGGGAGAAAGACAAGATAGTCAGCTTCCATAAAGATTGACAGCCTTGGAAACACCGTGGGGCAGTTCCACTCTGTCCTCTAGGGGCTGTATGAGTCAGAATCTACTAGATGGCAGTGGGTTTTTGGCTTTAGCAGGGTTACTTCCTGGGTGGTGCAGATGGTTTGCAAATAAGTGCTAATCTAAGGGTTGATGGTCTCAACCAACCCGACAGCACTGTAGAAGAAAGGCCTGTTAGGAGTTTTATAAAGATTTGCTTGACTTTCAAGTTTGCTTTTTAAAAAATGGTCAAAATACAGGAAGAGGAAAAAACATAGATGACTATTCACTTGGCCACGAACGACAGTTGTCCCTGGGAGGGGTCAGGCTGGTCACGTTGTACACGCACTATTGCTGCAACATTCAAATGGTTATAATCAAGTGTGGCATCTGAAGCCAGAACTAGATGTGACAGTGTGATCGTGTATGATGTCACCCATTTTAACCTTGAGTGCTGGGCTTGTCATTGTTGACTGGGTGACCTTGGACCAACCCCTTCTCCTCTCATGCCTCAATGTCTTCATCTGTAGAATGAATTGAAGTGGAAAGATGGCCATGGAGGCTCAGCCTTGTGGGAGGTGAGAGTTGGGTCTCCTCCATCCCATACTGAAGCTTCTCACAGCCTCCCTGTCAGCTCCCCTCCACCTCCTCCGAGCCCCGTGCCTCCTACCTCAGCTCCTCCAGCTTGCGCTGGGCGGCTGTGGGCCCGCGACTCCCTCTGGGCGCGTAGGCTGCCAGACAGCGAGCCACCTGCTGCTGTACCTGCTGTTCCCGGGCCCGGCGCAGCTCGAGCCGCAGCAGCTCCTCCTGCTGTTGCCGCTCCCAGGACTGCAGCAGGCTTCTTGGTGGGGACAGGGGAGGAAGAGGCATGTGAGAAGCCCACCGGGAGTCTCTAGGACAGTCAGGGGTCAGGTGGGGAAGAATGGGGATCTCTGGGGAGGAATTGTGGCAGCCAAGGTCGTGGGGATGGGGATGCCATGATATGATGTGATGGAGGCCTGCCACTGGGGGCTCAGCCTTTCCCCCCTCTTCCCAGATGCCTCTTGTGGCACTCAGCACACACAGCCTGTGACCCCACTTATATTGTGAGCTTCTCCTCACAGCACAGCTCTTGAGGGGACAGGGGAAGTCTTGTTTTTCCCTGTCGCCCTGTATCCTGCAAGAGCTCAGTTAATGCCCATCAGTTGGAGGGGAAGTTGGGTGGACAGATGCATGGGTAGACGGGTGGATAGGTGGATGGGTGGGAAGGAGGAACAATGGCAAAAGGCCCTGAGGGTGGTTGAACAGGTGGGTAAAGGTGCGGATGACTGAATGGACGGCAGCTGGAATGACCTGGAACGTTCTTTCCCTCGATCTCATGGCTCCTTCCTTCTTGTCAGTCATGTCTTGGCTCAGATGTCACTTTCCCAGAGGGGCTTTCCCTGACCACCCTGTCTCAAGTTGCCTCCCAGTCATGTTCCATTTCTCGCTATACGTTTTATTCATTTTTTAAATTAACGATCCTTCTTCACAAGTATAGTATTTTTACACAAATAATGTGAGTGTCAAACAGTTTTCTGATGCTTGGAAGTGAGAAGGGCCAGACTTTGTCTCACCTGCTTTGGGCACGTGGTCAGAGGGACCATTCCCTGGAGAAGGATATCGTGCTTGTTAAAGTGGAGGGTCAATGAAGAGGGGAAGGCCCTCAATGAGACGGACTGACACAGGGGCTGCAATAGTGAGGTCAAGCACAGCAGGGACTGTGAGGCTGGCACAGGGCCGGGCAGGGTTTCCTTGCATCGCACACAGGGTTGTTACGGGTCAGAGCTGTGTCGACGGCACCTAACAACAGTTTTCTGAAAACCACGCAGCTCCTCACATGTTCGTTTCCTACGGGTGTTACATGCATGGATGCGTTGTTTATGTGGACGTGTTATAGATGAGAAAAATATGGTGGACTGTAAGCTTCATGGAAGCGGGTTTCTTGTCTGTCTTCTTCGTCATCAATGAGTCCTCAGCACCTGGAACAGTGTCTGACAGAAACTGATAGTTGATGAATTCATATATCCTTGAATCATGGCCAGCTAGACAGATGGACAGATAGACAAAGAAGAGGGCACATCTGTACATTTGCTTGGTGCATACTTATTGAGCACCAACTGTGTGCAGGGCACGGTGTGGGGCACCAGGAAGGCCAATCAATAAGATCTGGCATCTGCCCTCGTGGAGTCCTCAGCCTGTGCCAGGGTGGGGCTGACAGTCACCAGCTGATGCAATGGGGAGCGGCTATGACCGAGGCAAGCATTGAGGAGCGCTTCCTGGAAGGCACTCTGCAGAGCAGTGGAGAGGCTGGGCGGGTGAGGAAAAGGAAAGATCCCACGAGAGGCGGGAGAGCGTGGGACGTTCCAGCCGCTCTGACCAGCTGGTGCAAGAGACCAGAGCCTTCTCACCATGGAATCTCAGGTTTATCCCAGGAGCACTGGGAAGCAGGAAAGGATTTCAAGCAGAGAGTGGCAGGGTAAAAATGGAGGGGCACTATCAGAATGCTAGGAGTTCTGGTGGTGCAGTGGTTAAGGCATTTGGCTGCTAACCAAAAGGTCAGTTGTTTGAACCCACCAGCGGCTCCATGGGAGAAAGAAGAGGCAGTCTTCTGTAAATATCGACAGCCTTGGGAACCCTATGGGACAGTTCTACTCTGTCCTACAGGATCACTATGGGTCAGAACACTGAATGACTCCTTCCCCACCCTCACCTGCTACTTCTAACCCATCACCAAGGCCCATCCACCCAACCTCAAAATGCCTCTTAAATGGATACCTCTCTATCCCCATGGCCACCTACCTCGGGCCCTTGTCATCCCTCACCTAGACAGTGTCAGTGGCCTCCTCACAGCCCCCAGCGCGGCTCCTCCACTCTTTCTCCTCTGCTCCCACCGCCTCGTTTGGGCCCCAGGTGTAGCGATCATCTAACTACTGCCATCCTCGCTGTTTGCCCATCTCTCTCCCTTTCCAGGCCATGAGTTCTCAGGGCTGGGGCCAAGTCTTTACATCTTGAGGAGCCCTGAGTAGGTACTTAGTGTAGTTGCATTAATTGTTTATTTAATAGATTAGTGGGTGAATGGAAGAAAACCTAGGTAATGAGTGGAAAGTGGCTTGTGTTAGACAAGAGATGGATGAATGAATGGTGGAATGGACATAAAAATAGATGGAGAGAGAAATAGATGAAGAGATGATAGTCCACGTGGATGGCTGCATGGATGAATGTTATCAGTAGTTTGAGGAATGGAAGGAAGAGTGAGTAGGTAGGTGGGCGAGTGGATGGGTGGATGGGTGGTGGGACGGATGGATAGAAGGGTGAGTGGATGGTTGGATGGAAGGAAGGATGAGTGGGTAGGGGGTGAATGGATGGATGGAGGAATCAATGAATGTTTGGATAATCAGAAAGTTTGGTGAAGGAGTAAATGAAGGAATGAGGGAAAGGTTGAGTGGCTGAGTGTCTCTTGGAGAACTGGCTCTTCTTCTTGCCCTTGGCTCCCACCCTCCTCCTCTCCCCCTTACCTGGTGGCCTCCTGTCGTTTGTGGAAGGTGCGGTTAGGGAAGCTGGAGGACAGGGAAGTCTTGACATCTCCTGAGGGATGAGCTTTCCCACTCCGGCCAGAGGCCTGCACAACAGCCCGCAAAACCTTCCAGGACTCCTTCTGGGGGCCTAGCCACAGTGGGACCAAGTCAGAGGCCACTTTCTTTTCCAGGCCACTGGGCAGCCTCCCCTTCCCCTGACGTCTGGAGCACAGGCCTGGCTCCCTGGCAGCTCTCCCAGCTGGGTGGCTTCCTGGGAAACCTGGCCGGCAAGCCCCCTACTCACCACAGAGGCCCTGTTTCTCCAAGTCCCATTGTAACTGCCTCTGCAGCTTTTCCAGGTCCCACGGCCCCTCCAGCTCCCTGGCCCTGGACGTCCTCCTCTGCGCCCCGAGGACATTGTCTGCTCTGGGGCCGCTCCCCTGGCTGTGGCCCTGTAGCTCACGCTTGTCCAGGTCCTCCTCGCCAGAGTTCCGCCCCTTCCTTCGAGACTGGGCCCTCCTTCTCTGGAGGGCCCTGTGCTCCCTGTCCTCGGCCTCTTCTGTCTCCTTCTGCCCGCAGGCTAGCCCCCTCCTGGGGATCAGGGGCAGTTTCCTGGGGCTCAGATCCAGCTTGGCCTGCACAGTGCACGGGGCTTCAGTGGCCTCCTCAGACTCAGGCAGCAAGACGCCGCACTTGCTGGACTGCTCCGGCCCCTGGTACCCCCCTTTGCTGCCACGGGCCTCCGGCTGCCGTCTCCTCTCCGTGTTTGGCGCCTCTGTCTTCCAGCAGAAGCCGTGGGGCTCTGGGAGTTTGGTCGTGGACTTGCGTCTGGACTTGGGCTGGAGTTGCAACTGGGGGGTCGCTGAGGGCAGGGACAGGCCCCGGGCACTGTTGGCTGGCTGGGCTTGGTGGCCTCTGGCCAAGCGGGAGCCAGGCTGATGCAGGACTCGGCTTTCCAAGGTGAAGGTCTCCCAGGCCCACTGGAAGGGGAAGGAGGGCTTCCGAGGAGGAGGTAGAGGTGGAGAAGGTGGAGGCGGGGGGAGGAGACTGAGGAGGGAGAGGGCAGAGATCAGGGCGTGAGTGCTGGTCCCCAGGGGGACCTGACGCCCCACCTTCCTCCCAGCCGCACCCCACAAGCTGCTCACTCTTCGGCCTCGGCAGAGCTGTGTGCTTGCTTCTGCTGGGCCGTGGGCCTCTGGTCCTCTTTGGCCGTCTGTCCTGCGCTGCGAGACCTCCGCTGCTGGCCCTGGAGTGGCTCCTCATTGCTTTCGAGGCTTCCCTGGGTGAGGACAGAGAGGCGGCCCAGCTCCGAGCACCTCCACGAGCACCCAAACCTGCCCCAGAAGGGCCTTTCTCCTACACACCCTGGCTGGGCCCTGGGGCCTTGCTGTTACTACAACCGACTGTCGTGCCTTTGAGTCAACTCGTACCAGCCCCATAGGAAAGAGTTGTTGTTATGTGCCGTCGAGTCGGACCCGACTCATAGCGACCCCTCCTCGGATTTCTGAGGAGGCAGTATCACTACAGAAGTAGATTGCCCAACCTTCCTTCCAAGGAGTGGCTGGTGGGTTTGAACCACCAGCCTTCTGGTTAGCAGTCAAGTGCCTTA